AAAACAAAACAAAACAAAACAAAACAAAACAAAACAAAACAAAACAAAACAAAACCCTCTCAGGGTATGCAGAGGACCATGTGGTGCCTGCTCCTGAGAGGAAGTGGTCTTATGGGAAGAAAACTGACTGGTGACAGCGACTGTAGTGCGGCTTTGAGGTTCCCAAGAGTTTCTCTTGCAGAAGTATACAAAAGGAAATATTGTCAAAATCAGCTTTCAGATGAAGCACTCATTAGAAGGACACGCTAAGTGACTAGAGGAATCAGTGGATTACCTCAGCTCTTGCTCCTCTAATCCTCTTAGAAAATGCAGACAGAGCTTTATTGGTAAAAGCTAGGATCCTTTACTATTTTACTTGGGAAGAAAAAGGGTTTTCAAAACTAAAGAGGTCTTACCTGGCTCTGCCAACTACCACAGTCTGTGCCCAGGGCTGCATGATTTCTGAGAAAGATCCATAGTCAAAAAATCCACTCAACCATTGGCCTTTCTGGGCTGTGAAGGAAAAGAAGTGGGGGTGAGAAAGACATGAAAAGCATAAAGAGAGTCGATCTCTGGCAGTGCGCTGGGCTGATGGATTTAAGGTGGGATCTGGGGATTTGTTTTGAGGAGTCTGTTGTTTCTAACCATATTATAATAGATGGAAGCATTAAGCAACTGAGCGTTCATCTGCCTTCAGAAATCATACCCTATTTCATTTGCTAGTCTGCATAGAGAGAATCATTTATCAGCAAAAGCATCATTTATCGTTAAACGATGGGGTTCAGCTAGCAGAGGAGGGTCTGCGTGCCTTTAAATAAACAGCTTGCCTTTTTTCAAGACAGCACAAACATTTGTCAAGAGGCAGCCAAGTCATTAAAGATGTTTTTAAAATGTTTATTTCTATTTTAAAATTTGCCTTACAATTTTGTTTGATTCCGCTGATTTTCTTTTAAAGGGAGGATGAAAACACAAAGTATTAATGATCAGATGAAGACTCGAACTTGGAGGTAAATAAGAGATTCAGTCTCTCTGCCAGAACTCAACAATATAGCTTCACTTTATTTATGGCTGACAAAGTATAATCTTTCTACATGAAGGGCCATGACACATACCCTTGACAGAACAAAATCATAATGGCTAAGCTATATACACTTAAAAAAATATACACACTTAACAACACCACCTCTTTCCCTCATCCAGTTCCTTATACTGGCAAGGCATGTAACTTTCACCACCTTAGTTTAAGACAAAACTTTTGATCCACAGGCATGAATGTTTGATCAAGTCCTTATAAAGCCTTCTGCAAATACCTGTTTCCTCATTTGCCCTCTCAGCTCACAGTTTCTCAGTGATTCTTCTAATTTGAACGAGGCTCTCCACCCCCTAAACCTCAAGTCCAAAACCAATTAAAAGTAGAGATCTGAGCAAGCTAACCTCTGCTGACTTAAACAGGATGGACAGTGTTTTATCAAGACTAAACTTGTAATTACTGTGTTCTACATTCCTTGCTTCTATGGCCCCAGTGTAAAATGTGATCATCCATTTCAAAATTATCTCTCTATCATGAGCCCAAAGCTGATCGTTTAGATTCTGGTCTCGTGTTGGGCGTCAGTTTGAAGAATATCACGGCACTATCTCCTCTAATAAATGACTTTAACTTTTCACCTAGAAGATATCTGCTTTAACTTATCATAGGGAATCATCTGCTTTCTTTAACACTTCCACTAAATTAAAATCTGAAGTCACTCGGTTTGGGAGCCAGTGTTAGCTGCACATAGACAGCAGGATGAATTACTAGAGAGTTGATGAAAAAATATTATCCAAAACACCAGAAAACTTAGTTTATCACACATTTCATTTATTCTGTGGTTCTTACTAATAATGACCTGGATAATGCCCACCTAAATATGTGCTCCTGTTCACCCTATGAAACAAAGGTGCTTTGCTTTTTAAGACAGTCTTACCCAGGGTAGACTTGAATTTGCAATCCTCCTGTCTCATCTTCTTAAAACATTGGATTAAATGCACATACTATTAGGCTTTGCAGAGGGCTCAAATTCTGATGAAGGTTCTAAATCAAATTTGTAGCTTCATCAGGATACTGAAATTTTAACTTTATATGCCTGGGCCATTTTATGATTTTTACTTCAATAATGAGTGATTTGAACTACAGAATTAATTTCAAAACCAGAAGGTTCACTTGTTTCAAAACCCCTTGGGAGCTGGCTAGAAGTATGCTAGGTGGTAGGATTCTTGCCTAGTGTGCATAATTCCCTGGGTTCAGGCTCTAGTACCGCCACAACCAAACCATCTAGCCTCATATGCTGACTAGGGAGGAAGGAGCCATTGGCTATGCTGGCTGGACTTGATGGTCCCACAAGGAAGTCACTCTAACTCAGATGTAGAACTGGAGTGCCACTAAGATGCTTCCCTATGTTTCCCAGGAGAACACTACTGAGCTTTGTTCTGAATTTAGTGGAGAAACACTTAATTCCCAGAAAAGTCCTAGATTTTTAAGGCCAATCACTGTGTCAGACTTACGGTTCTTACCATAATTATGTATAAAAAATAAGGAGGAGAAAGATTACTATGGTGATTTTTTTTTTTGCCTATGTAAGTAATTTTATTAAGAGTAATAAGAAAGGCCGGGCGGTGGTGGCGCACGCCTTTAATCCCAGCACTTGGGAGGCAGAAGCAGGCGGATTTCTGAGTTCGAGGCCAGCCTGGTCTACAGAGTGAGTTCCAGGACAGCCAGGGCTATACAGAGAAACCCTGTCTCGAAAATCCAAAAAAAAAAAAAAAAAAAATTTGAAGAGTAATAAGAAAAGGCCTAGAAAAAAGGAGTTATGATTATAAAAGCAACTAACAGAGTTCTCTTGAATTTTCTAGAATATCTACAGTTAGAGATCATGTCTAACTGCATCAAAACAATGGCTGTGGGATCATGCAAAAATAAGACATGTATATGAAAGTGCTCTTACACCAGACTCTGCTTTGAGTGGTTTCTATTAAGTCTTGCTTAGGAACAAATCTTTTTATTTCAGCAGAATCACAATGGCCCTTAAATTTAACAACATATCTTCTGCAATTCATTTTTTACTTTAATGTGTATAGTATTTTGCCCACATGTGTATCTGTATGCCAGGTGTGTACCTGGCACCTAGGGAGGCCAGAGGAGGATGTTGAGTTCCTTGGAACTGTAGTTACAGATAGTTGCAGGCTGCCATGTAGTTTCTGGAAATTGAGTCCGTGTCTGGAAGAGCAGCCAGTGATCTTAACCACTGAGCCATCTCTGCAGCCCGTCTGACCCATTCTTGATATACAGTATTTTAAAAATGAATAGTGACAATAGACATGCAAGAAAGAACTAACACTTCCTCACACCATTCAGAGAAAGCAGGGCCAGGTGTGGTGGAGAGCTCACGCTGGGAATCTTAGCACTTGGCATACTGGAGCAAAAGGATTTGAAAGTTAAAGGCCAACCTGAGCTACATCACCAGTTCCAGGCCAGCTTGGGCTACAAAGATAAACCTTATCTCAACGAAAAACAAAACAACACAACAGGCTACTTGGGGCTTTACAAAAGTAAAGCCAAATGGATTGACAATGTAAATTTAGTTTCTACACTCACTCATTTTTTTCTGTAGTGTGTGAGTGTGTGTCTCTGTGTATAGTGTGTGAGGCATCTCTCAAGTGCCATCTACTGGTCTGGAACTACAGTACAGTAGGCTAGATGTCCAGCAAGCCCCCAGGAATCCATCTGTCTTCACCTACCCTGTGCTGAGATTACAAGTATATGCTACCATGTCCAATTTGTTAAAATGAAAGTTCTAGGAATAGAACCCAGGACTTCTTAAAAAGCATTTTATTGCTGGGCAGTGGTGGCGCACACCTTTAATCCCAGCACTTGGGAGGCAGAGGCAGGCGGATTTCTGAGTTCGAGGCCAGCCTGGTCTACAGAGTGAGTTCCGGACAGCCAGGGCTACACAGAGAAACCCTGTCTCGAAAAAACAAAAAAAAAAAACAAAAAAAAAAACAAAGAGCATTTTATTATCAATACTATTCCCAGTATCATAGGAAGAATGTGGGGATGGTGTGGTATTCAGCAATAGTTTGCTAGTTAGCATACAGTTAAATTCTACATTTAAAGTTTAGAGATATTTTCTCAAGGTAACCTCATTAATTTGTCTTCCCTCACCCTTTGCTTTAAAGACATGATTTAGTTATGCATTTCAGACTGACTTGAATCATCATGTAGCTCAAGATGGCCTGATGCTACTCCTGGTGACCCTTATGCCTCAGCTTCCCTAGTGCAGGCACATACCCTAGAGTTGGCTCAATGCTCTTTTTTATAGACACTGGTTGGCCAGAGAGTCTGGTCCTCGGCTGGAGATGTAGTATCTCAGTGGAAAAGTGCTTACCTAGCATAAATGAGGCTCTCTCTCAGTTTGATCCCCAGAATCCCCACCCCCACCTCAACAAAAAGGATTCTGGTCCTATAAGATCATGATTCTCTGGCTTATACCAAATGATTTAAAGACCTACTAAGTTCCTTAGTAACAGAAGGAATGAATCAGTGACTACACAGTTATGACTGAGCAAGTGATTGATAAAGCTCACTTTTCTCCTGTTTGTTCACCAAGATTTTGGTTTTTTACATTTTCTTCATAGGGCTTTTTTCTTATATCTTCCTGATTTCTGGGTATAGAGTTAGATAGTTACTAGACAGCCAGGATACTATTAGGTCCTTAAACATATACGTACTTGGGTGAGGACGGCCTGCCAGCATCCACCGAGGATCATATGGAGCCTTTGTGGGAACAAACTCGATGACTCTATCTATAGGATCCTTAGAATTCAGGAGAGGAACTGAACTGTGTACGCTCTAGAGAAAGAGTGGGAAAGAATGGGCATCAATCAGCAGATGTCAGTCTCAGACCTCAACTCAGCAGCCACAGCTCCACACAAAGATAGCAGGGCCCGCCTTCCAAATGACACCCACTGGTCCCAGGCATCAAGCAGAAGCATCCCAGTTATGTGTCAAGCCCCAACTCTCATTTAGGAGCCTAACACACACTGGTGCATTCTGACCTGATCCATCCTGCCAAGCTCTCTGAGAAGCAAGCTCCTGGAGGACAAACAGCTACTACAGGGAGGAAACTCATGGAGATGAGGAATTCTTAATATTTTGGGAGCTGAACATATATGGGCCATAAAACATCTGTGGCTGAAAAAGAGTGGAAGTTAATGAGATCCAAAGGTATTCTGAAGGTAGGAGGTAAAAGACAGCTTCAAGAGAAAGAAATCTACAGGTTTCAGAGAAATACTTCATAAGAAATTCTTCAAACAGTGTAGTTCAAACACAATAAGCTGAGGCAGAGATGGTGGATAGGAAAGACTCACCTTGGGCATGTATGACAGCCAGTGTAAGACTGTGAATACTCCCTCAAAGTCATCACAAACAGTGGAGTGGGTAACCCCGTTGTTGTGCATGATCTGGATGCCCCCAAGCTGATTGTTGGAGGTGTATACTTCCCGACCAAGGACCTAGACAAATGAGCAAATGAAAAGACATTGGTCTCTACAGATACAACAATGTACATTATTTTCCAATTCTTACTAAAATAGTTTTTTCCCCCTCTACCAAACAAAGACAAACCCATTTTCTGTGGGTTGTTCAGAGGGACTGCCAGAACTTTCTTTCCTAAAAGACATTTTAGAAAACAAAGAAACAAACAAAAACCTTCAATAGTTACATACATTGTTGCAATTTTAAAACCACCAAGCTCCCTCTCTCTACAAGCCACCATAGACAAGTGCAGAGGACTTCAACTCTGAGAAAAAAAATTGTGGTAGGTAGGCTGGGACCCTGGGGGCCACTGGCTACATCTTCTTTTCAGTCTCATAGTTATGTGTACAGACACAGACACACAGACACCCACACACCCACACACACCCACACCCACACACCATGCTGAGTCCATGTTAGAGAAAGGCTATGGGGCTGGGTGCCTTATTTTTCTAAGGGATTAACTTTCTCCTGACATTTGATTTTTCAAGCTAGCCTGCTGTCTCCCTCCTCCCTTCCTAAACCAGGTAGAATCCTGAAGCAGCTCATGATGTTTCTCAACCCCTAGACTCCAGTCTTCTTTGTGTGCTGGGTGTGAGGCTGTGATATACTTCCCAAGCCTGTTATCCTCTGAGGACTGGAAAGGATTCAGGCCTCACCCTATTATTTCTGGAGGACTTTAACCCTAGTCAGGTGGGGGCACTTGCAAATGGAAACTACAAACTTTTCCCTAAAGATGAAAAGAAAGAAAGAAAGAAAGAAAGAAAGAAAGAAAGAAAGAAAGAAGGAAGGAAGGAAGGAAGGAAGGAAGGAAGGAAGGAAGGAAGGAAGGAAAGAAAGAAATTAATTAATTAATTAATTAATTCTCGGACTTGGAAATTGTAGGGTTTCGTTTCCTCCCTAAGATTGGTTAATAATTTCTTCCAGGGAGGGAGGTTTTCTGACCCAGCAGATGGAAGTCAGGCAGCCTGATCACCGACTATTGCAAACTGCTGAGTGTGTAGTAATTGCCAGTCATGTACGGTAGCCCTGGAGAGCACTAAACAGTTGTGGAGGGCTCACTTTATACGCTCTTTTCTGTTCCCTCTCCTCTCTTCTAAGAAACAACAACATCAAAAAATTTTTTTTTCTAACTTTTTTTCATTTTCAGCCTCTTGGGAGAACCTAAACAAATTAAGGCCAACAAACTAAGCCTGTATACTTTCAATTGGCCCTTTCTTATTAGGTGTTTGGAGAGGTTCCCCTGTCTGCCGGTCAGCCCCCTACATCAAGACCTTCCAAAGGCTGAACAAGTTGGTGACCAAAGTAATAACCTTGCTATGATCCCGCTGGCCTTGGTTCCATTTAACTTCAGCTAGGAAAAGCATAAGCGAGTGTTCGGAAAAGAATACGGAGAGCAAAATTGCTCAACGATTACTGCTTTCCTTGATAAAGAAGCACAGAGAACAAGCCTTTCCAGGAATCCCTAAGCCAAGCAACATGCTGGCAGCTGCTTTGAAGGAGCCGGTGAGCAGGGGAGACCATATCTGGCCAGTGGGCTGCCATCCTGCTCTCAGTCTGTCTTTAATCTCAGCCCAGGCTCTGCGGCTCTTTTCTCATTCTCCTGCTGTCTCTTTCCATTTGCCCTCTCTCTGACTGATACACTGATCTCTCGGTCACTCGGCTTTCTGCTCCACTGAGTCCATATTACTAATAACACCTCCGCCACGGCCAGTTTACCTCATGAAGGCAGGAGCACATCATTACAAAATAAACTCATAACTTTGACATTCTAGCAAATACATGCCGTTTGTTATTTTTATGGCTTTAGTCATTCTAACAGGCAGAGGGCATTACATACCTGTTTCATTTATATCTTTAAGCGTGCGTGCATACACACACTCTTGCACATGCACCAGGACACAAAACGGAACAACAACAAAAACCCCAAACAAATAGAAATTTCCAAAGCAGTCAGTTGATGGGGAGTCTGGTGGAGGCAGAAGGCCTGTCATTCAGGGAGGCCACACTCTGATCTGACTCTGGTTTTATGGCTGTCATAAACCTGATGGCCCACAACTGGTCCTTCTGGGACAGACTGCTTCTCTGCTAGAAGTCATTCAGTGTGATCAGCAGTATTTTTAATTATTAAACTAAAATTGGAAAGGAGAAATGAAATAAAAAGGAGACACTGTGCTGACCCTGAATATCTGATATTCATAATTTATGTCAGGAGCCAGATACTCCCTGTTGCATAGGAAAGGGATATTTTCTGTTCAGAAACATTGTTTTTGGTCCCACTTTTGATACTTGATGATGTCTAACCACGAGAACACTGAACAATTACAAAACTAGCAATGAACCAAGGAAGGACCAAGCTCAGACAAAGGGACCTAAGACAACCAAGAACAGCTTGCTATTTAAGTGCACCATCTAAATGTCTTCACCCTCTTTTCAATGAGTTGAGAAGGGCATTCAGAATGAGGCCACTCCCAGAGAGACTCTAACACTTACCCATTCTATTATACTGATTGCTATTTTGAACCCCAGCGCATACTTCTTTGAACCCCAATTCTGCATTTTCACATTAGGAGTAAGATTCAGTGACTTTGCATGTCTTCTCCCTCACATTCTGATGCTTTGGAAATGTTTGTGAAAGCAGCAGCATTTGTGCATTTTTTTCCTCTGGGTTCCAAAGAAACCCTAGGGGTCCCCAGAACTGAAAACATTATTTCTGTGCTAACAAATGCTTATCATGCCGGGCGTTGGAGGTGCACACCTTTAATCCCAGCACTTGGGAGGCAGAGGTAGGTGGATTTCTGAGTTCGAGGCCAGCCTGGTCTACAGAGTGAGTTCTAGGACAGCCAGGGCTACACAGAGAAACCCTGCCTTGAAAAACCAAAAAAAAAAAAACCCAAAAAACAAAAAAACAAAAACAAACCAACAAAACCAAAAACCAAAAAACAACCCCAAAACAAACAAACAAACAAACAAAACACCAACACCCCCCCCCAAAAAAAGCCAAATGCTTATCACTTAAGAAGACGACTCATTTGTTAATAAAAGAAATCACAGGATAGAGTTACAGAGCACCCAAAAAGCCCTGTCTGACTGGTATGAGCTTGGGAGATGGGGGTGGAGTAGAGAAGGAAACAGAAATGAAGCCCATTTCCTTAATTACAAAGAGATAGCAACAATCACAGTCATTCAACAATCAAGAGAAACCAGTAGCCTGGACTATCCTCAGCTGCCTGTAGGTTTGGAGTACCTACCAGTGAGATGAAGGCTCACATTATAGCTCCTGATTTATAGGGGTCATTGCTGACTCAAGTGGTTTTAATGATTTTAGGATACCTCTTGACAAAAGCTCCAATCAAGGCAGTAGAATCTGGGCTAGGAAAGATTCTATTCTGCCCAACTCTGAAACGACTATGCAGGGATAGCTACACAAGTCCTACCTGGCAACTAGAAAGATAAAAACCCCCACAAACAATCACTGTTTTTCTCAGTTTGTTGGCCTACCAACCCTTGAGGGAAAGCTGTGGGTCAACAGCCCACACTATCATCATATCTTCATTGTCACCCATTGAAACCTTGACAAGCATTTCTGTATTGTCAAGTTCCTTGCAATGTTCTGGTTCCTGAATCATTCTCCTCACATTTTCTATTATACGATACAGACTCCTAATTTATTTGCCTAACAAGAATTTACCACCATTTACACACAAGAGACATCCAAAAGGGCATCCCTGAGGCTGCCTTTGTTGTCTTGCCCTAAGTGGTCAAAACACAACTATGAAATAACAACAAAAGCATGATCCCAGGGTTCTCTGCTTAGAAGTGCCTAGACCACAGAACTATAGGGCTAAATCAGAGCGGAAAGAAGATCTTCACCCAGTCTAGCTATATATTTAAGCTTCATTGAACACTCCATTTATTGTAGCTGGCAGACCTAAAAATTAAAGTATCTCATGAAAGCCAGTTAGTACAGATGCAACTGTTAAAGGTTTCACCAAAGGTGCCATAGAGCCTGCAGAAATGCTGAGATGCCTAAGGGGATAAACGAATTCAGTCAAACATACTATGGCCGCTGCTGCTGCTGCTGCTGCTGCTGCTGCTGCTGCTTATCCAAAGACACTGCAGATAGCTCAGGCTTACCACAGCTGACAGGCAATGAAAATAGTCTAATATACCGCCTCCTCTCACCCTTAAATCCCTTCTTGGAGATCAAGATAAACACATTTTTCCTTTTCCCAGTGCTCCAAACATGAAGTGGCAGAGCACTGTGAACGTTTGTGCAAATTAAATCACTGTATAATATTGAATGAGTGCAGTATTTTCTTGTAATATTTGTCAGCACAGCATTGAGATTTCCAAATATTACAGATGCAACCTGGATCAGTTCCTAAAATATTGCTTTTATCCTAATATACATATTTTTGGAATATTATATTGGAATGTATATTAGTTTTGGAACCTTTAGTTATATGTAAATATTTGCCAATCATGTGATAAGATGGAAAATAATAATGGTGAATATCGATCATGGTAAAAAAGAAAATCTGCACCTTTCTTCCCTTTTTAACAATCCTTGGAGAGTCAGGGCATCTACTATTTTAGGAAGCAGGGAGCACAAAATTCCTCCGACTCTGAGAATCAGGCTACACAAGCACAGTTCTCGCTGTAATCCTCTCATAGTACTTCCATTCTTCAGAGGGGAAATTTTCTGAGCAATCATCATCACTAGATCTCATGCATGATTCTAGGTATTAACGTCACTCTGGAATGTTATTGATAAAGGAGGAGGAGGGTAGACAGACAGACAGACAGATGAGTGAGAGCAGACGGCAGTGGGGAAAGACTGGTACAAAGGGACAAAAGGGAGGATGGACAAGAAGAAAGGGTTGAGGGGAGACAGGGGAGGGGAAAACAGTAACAGCACTTCTCCTCCTAGCATCCTCCTTGACCTGAAAGAACTACATTTTTAAAAGCTGACAAG